CTTATTAAAATGTTGGATTAAGACTAGGGAAACGATCTCCCCATGGAGATCCGGACCCTTACTACCCTTCCGGCCTTCCGCAAAGCAGTTAAGACCTGGCTGTTCCGGCAGGCCAGGGGCTGTTGAACTATCCTGCCCCATTCGAGGTTACGGCTGTTGTAGTATTTTAAATTGTTTGTTTAAATTGTTTGTTTTTATTTTATTTTTATATCCCCTCCCTTTTTATTGTAAGCTGCCCTGAGTCTCTCAGAATAGGGCAGCATACAAACCTAATAAATGAATGATCTAAATGAAATGACTTGATGCTTTTAAGAACTAGTAGAGAAGGATGGTAGCCATTTTTTAATTGTTCCCTGACCAGAGTCATGAAGAAGTTACACTGTGTTGATAGATTCTTGTGTATGAGATCAACCCTGACTGTTGTTTAGAAGGCCAGATCCTGAAGATGAAACTCAAATACTTTGGCCACTGAATGAGAAGGAAGGACACACTGGAGATGAGCCTAATACTGGGAAAGATTTAGGACAAAAGAAGAATGGGACAACAGAGAATGAGGTCGCTGGATGGAGTCATCAAAGCAGTAGGTGTGAGCATAAATGGATTCCAGAGAATGGTAGAGGACAGGAAGGCTTGGAGCAACGGTGTCCATGGGGTGGCGATGGGTCAGACATGACTTAGAAACTAACAACAACAACAACAACAACAACAACAACAACAACAACATAACTGCTATAATTCACAACTGCAAATTTATCACTTCAAAGCTCATTATTGCAATCACCTGTTGCTTTTTCAGGCCATTGAGTATTCAGGCAAGGAAGGAGGTGGAAATGTAGATTAAGATGGGAGCCATTTACTGGTGAGGGCAGGATATGTAAGCAAGATTGATCAGTAATTGATCAGCACTAACCAGCTGGATTCCTTGATGCCCTTCAGTTTTCAGCTACTTCTAAAGATAGCACTCGCATCATCAGCAAGCATATAACAGCACTTGATAAGATTCAGAGAAAAGGCCCATATGCATTTCACAAAATTACTAGGACATTAATCTGCAAGAACTGGTGGGAAAAGCAAAGCAAATTTTCTGAGTTTTAGACTGCAGGGTGAAAGTCTGAACCGGTTGAAGAGTTAACTCAAGCAGTCTTCAGGGAGAAGGAGGAAAAAAGTAGGAAGGAAGGAAAAATGCAGGAGCGAAAGAGAGACAGGCATTTACTACTGGTACCAGTGGAGCCAGAGGCTGATGTATATTGACTTTACTTATAAAAGTAGCAGCTTAAAAACCATACATCTGAAAATGAGCAGAGTAAGCCAAAATAGAAAAATGGAGAGAGCACATTGTCTAGCAGGGGAGGTGAAGCAGGGAAGGCAGAAATGCAATTAAAATGAAAGGTCAAGGAGAGATAAAATACAAACGCAGGAAGGAGTGGATCAACCTATACATAAATATTGGCCCATCATCAC